CTCACCATTCCACTCCCTCCTTGTCTGCTCCCTGGAGTCATTGCCGGACTCTGTGGCAGTGGAACCCTCTCTGATGACTAAATCTCGTGGGAAAACATAGCCGTGATCACATCCGTTGGTGTGTATAGCACTTTCACCACGTGCCGTTCGCTGTGTAGCAGCCCTGGTGGTGTGGTGGGTAAGCACTCGGCTGTGCACCAACAGGTCAGCAGTTCAAGCCAACCAGCTGCTCCACTGGACAAGGCCTGGTGATTTGCTCCCATAAAGATGGCAGCTTGGAGACCCCGTGGGCAGTTCCACTCTGTCCTCTAGGGGCGCTGTGAGTCAGAATCGACTCCATGATAGTGAGTGTGGTTTGGGCTTTGCTTCTGTGGAGATTGACAGCCTTGGAGACCCCATGGTGCAGTTCCACTCTGTCCTCTAGGGGCGCTGTGGGTCAGAATTGACTCTTAGGCAGTGGGTGTGGTTTGGGCTTTGCTTCTGTGGAGATTGACAGCCTTGGAGACCCTGTGGTTGCAGTTCCACTCTGTCCTCTAGGGGCACTGTGAGTCAGAATCCACTCCAAGGCAGTGGGTTTGGTTTGGGCTTTGCTTCCCTAAAGATTGACAGCCTTGGAGACCCTGTGGTGCAGTTCCACTCTGTCCTCTAGGGGCGCTGTGATCAGCGTCGACTTGATGGCTGTAGGCTTGGGTTTGGATTCACAGTGTGAAGCCCTTTTTACCGTGTGGACGCACAGAATCCTCCCCACAGCCCCACGACGCAGGCCCAAAGTGAGACCTGTGAGTGCTGGAACACAAGGCCGCCTTGGTTTTCTGGGTCTTGCGGGTCTCTCACCTCTGACAGCATGCAGTCTGACCACTTTTCTGTCGTTCTCAGTGGAAAATACTGGAGTTTTTCTTCTCGGACAGGTTCCCACCTTTTACAGGTTCCTGCTTTTCCAAGGTTTGCTGTATTTTCCCCGTTACACACGTGAGGAAACTGACGTAGAGCTTCTGAGCTGTTACCCGAGGTCACACAGCTTCGTGGCAGAGCTGGTACTTGAACCCTGGACATCCGGTCCCAGAGCCCCAGCTCTTACGTGTGCTATGAAAACAGAATAAGTGACAGTTATTAAGTTGATAAAACTAGGAATATGGGGAACAGTAACCTGGGGAGGAAAATGCCATGTTTGAGTCCCCACGGGAGCTGTGGTTGTGCAGTGGTTAGAGTACTCAGCTGGCAACCAAAA